CTCAAGTGGTAGAGCACTAGCCTTGAGCTGAAGAGCTGAGGGACAGCACCCAGGCCCAGAGTTCAGGCCCCACGACTGGACCCCCCCCCAAAAAAGAGTCCAGGCACTGATGGCTTATGCCTGTAATCCTAGCTACTCAGAAGGCTAAGGTCTGAGGATCTCATTTCAAAAGCCCAGGAAAGTCCATGAGACTCTTTATCACCAATTAACCAGAAAACCGAAAGTGGTGCTATGGCTCAAAGTGGTAGAGCATTAGCCTTGAGCAAAGGAGCTCAGAACCAGCATCCAGGTCCTGAGTTCAAACCCCACAACTGAGTCCCGACCCCCCACCCCCACCCCAAAAAAGGACCATTTCCAAATTTAGTCTCTTCTCTGAAAATGTATAGGAGCCTTTCATTTAAGAATGGCAGTTCTATCTTCAAAATGTGGTAAAATATAGCTTGCCTCTGCAACTTACACTACTTGGGTGGTTCTCAAGTAGTAACTTCCCATGCTGCCTCTAAGCCACATAGCTCAAACCCTGTCACCTTCCGGAAAGCCCTCCCCTCTCCTCTTGACAATCAGTAATGATTGCTCTCCTAACAAGAGTGCTCCATGGATCAACCACCACTCACAACTCCTCTCACACCAATTCATCTGTACTGAGCATCTGCTTTTAAAGCAGGAGCTCTACAATACATTCTAAACATACTAATTCATAGCACAGGGGTAATGAGTGCAGTCTGTACTGCTAGGAGATTAATCCACCATGGGAGTTCAAAGTATCCTCCACATGGAAATTTTTCAAAATTAAGATGGTTGGCCAGGCCATCGGTGGCTCACGCCTGTAATCCTAGCTCCTCAGGAGGCTGAGATTTGAGGATTGAGGTTCAAAGCCAGCCCAGGCAGCAAAGTCCGTGAGACTCTTATCTCCAATAAACCACTAGAAAACTGGAAGTAGCGCTCTAGCTCAAGCAGTAGAGCGCTCGCCTTGAGCTGAAGAGCTGAGCAATAGTGCCCAAGCCCAGAGTTCAAGACCCATGACCAACAAAAATAATAAGATGGTTGTGTCACTTGTAAGAGTGCCTATACTAGATTGGAGGTGTAGCTCTGTAACTCAACACTTGCCTACCATTAGCACCACATAAGCAAAAAGAAAAAAGCCGGAAGTGGCGCTGTGGCTCAAGTGGTAGGGCACTAGCCTTGAGCTAAAGAGCTGAGGGACAGTGCTCAGGCCCAGAGTTCAGGCCCCACAACCGGACAAAAAAAACCACTTGCCTACCATGAATAAAGCCAGTCCAGCACCACAGCAGAAACCAAAACCAGTCTCCATACTGTACAAATTCACAGGTCAACTTCAAAAACTTCTTCTGAGTCCCCAGCATCCTGAGGGCTCATTTCACCAAATGCTCTCTATAATGAGCCCACCTCCCTGCTGTCTTTGGTTGGTTTACCACTGTCAAAATAGTTGATCACTCAACAACTATTAGGTTAACATTCATCACCAAAACAGCAAAGTGCTCTTGTATTTTCACCCACACCCTTAAAACTTTGAGAAACTGTGTCAAGAAGGGCTGGGTACAGGCTTATTCAGTCTTGCCAATACTTGTTTTATTCATAACATTATGAAGGACTTAACAGAAGTTGGAACTCCCACCCAAGACCTCACAGTCAAGTATTACCTCACCATTACCAGGAGGGAACTTCCAATTCCCAAAGGCTTTCTAAACAGAAATGACTCACTGAACATACATTTTATGAAAGGCTTAGAATGTCAAAATAAAACCTGTATGAGCAAGAGCTTAGGATTTAGTCAGAAGCCTGGATCTAGGACCCAAAGTCAAGGCCAATTCTTTAATTAGCTTTTGTAACTTATCAGTTAGTTTCAACAACCTTACATGCTTCAACTTTCTCAGCCATAAAATGGAGCAAAAAGTACAAAGTCCTTTACCAAAGTATAGTGACCATTAATTCAATTTCAATGTGTACCACATGTGTGCTACACCAGGAAGTATACTAGCTGCTGAAAATACTGAGATGAACAAGACTTTGTGGAATGTAATTATTACATGAAATTATAGGTGTGAT